GAGACTTTGGACTTTTTTCCCATAGAGAATGGGGAGGCACTGAATGCATCTGAGCAGAGGAAGGACGAGATCAATGGCAGGCATCAGGAACAGAACTGTGTCCCTAACAAGTACAATGGAGAGGAATAAGAGCCTGGCAGTGGGGAAAGCTGCCAGAAAGCCCTTAGAATAAGACAGGAGGGGGTCAACGAATGACTCCCTAGCTAGAGTGGGGACAGTATGAATTTACAAAGACAAAATGAGAGGGACATGGAGGACCTAGAATGAAAAGCAGTGTGGCAGCAATTAGAGGTGAACCACAGTGAGGGAAAGGTTAAGTCCAGGAAAAGTTAAGTCCAAGTTCTAAGATTTTAGAGCCTGGACAGGAGGACCTAGGAGAATAGAAGTGCCATGAACGGAAAGAGGGAAGTCAAGAGGGAGAGGCAAAGATAGTGAGATTGGTTTTGACCTGTCAAGCCTGAGCAGCTGGAAGGAAATTCAAGTGGAGGTGTTCAGCAGAGATGGGATGAGAGTCCAGGAGAAGAATGTCTATAGTGATGGGGCAAGAACAAACTGATGATCAGAGAAGATGGAGGAGATTCACCGTGAGCACAATGGCATGGATGGATTTCAGAAACAAATCTTATCTAAGATGCTGGGAAGGCACCAAAGAGAAAAGCAGACATTGTGGGCTAATATCTGCCTCCATTCTATATTTATGACTCTCCTTGTTGTCCACAGGCACCTTTGGAAAGGAGAGAGTCAAGGTGTATGACCAATTGAAAAACCGATTTTTTGTCGTTGTCATTGGGAAAGCATTCTAAGATCAGAACATGACTTAACAAGAGGGGAAAAGCCCTTATGGAATACTGACAATGTTATGGCAGATTGTTTAAAGAATAGTTAGGTGAGATGGGGGATTTTAACTTCTAAATTTTATTCACCTTTCAAAAAATCATTTGAAACATCCAAAAAGGGTAAGTACATGTTTTGTTCTAGACTAGAAATTCCAGCAGTAGGAATCCTATGCATGTGAATCTCCGATGTGTAGCCTCTTGTGAAATAACTTGAATTGTCCATAACGTTTCTCGTAAGGGTAAAATGCCCAGCCCTGAATATTAACTGACAAGGCTGTAGATTTCCCCACAGCATCACAGCTGAGAGGCCAGGGAGAACATTTTCCTAATTACTACCAGGAGGCCAGAGGGACCGACCGCCAGAGCAAGTGGGCTTCAGGAGATGCACTGGCGTTGGGTTAGGCAGCAGAGCGTTCTCCTGGAATTAGTGAGTGCGAAAGGAATGTGCTGGGAGCCCCCATCTACTGTTTATCTGGGAGGGCCCCACAGATAGGGAGCTTGACAGTGAATTTCTAACCCTGAAAACTAATGATGCCCGCGTTTCCCTGCCTCGCTGGGACTGCCGGCGTATCTCGGCTTACTTCATAGGGGAGTGACTGGTATTTGAGCACTGATAACAGCAATCTTCGTGTTGGGGCTGAGTCGGGGAGGACATTCCAGAAAAGCAAATGGCTGAGAAAATAGCTGGCCTGCATGAGGACAGGGGTTCAGGACCTCGTGCCTGCTGCCATCGAGCAAGCCGGGGAACAAGGCACCAAGCAGGGATGGCAGGAACCTTTTCTGGAGGAAGAGCAAACGCTCATAATCTTACGTTAAACAGGATCAGCGAAGAGAAGAAGGAAATATGTTTGGTCTCTGGCCTACCATCACACTAAAGGTTACTGAGGGATTTTTCATGTCGCTGATGGGCTGCTGGAGCAGAGAGCCTGGGCTACAGAAATCCTCTCTGAAAACAGTTGCCTCTGGAAAATCGGATCTATATTCAATAATGCCAATAGGATAACCGAAAGGAAAAATTATATATTACCCTAAGCTTTCTCTGAACACTACCTGTATCCTTTGTTGACTTTTCACATGTGGCTGTATTTCTGGAGTGTTTAAAAAATGATTCTCTATAGAAAACTCCACACTGACCAATCCTTAATTAGACCAAAATAATGAAATTAAAAAGCTGCTTACGTGTTCCCCTTGGGTTAGATGGAACCGAAATCTGTGTGGGAGGGAACACCAAGACAGAAGACCGTGCAGGCTGCACTAAAAAACAGCAAGTACAATATTTGGTGAATGTGTTTCTAAATTCTAGCTTCATTGGTCACCTTTGGAAGGATTTTAAAGAAGTTGTACACTTATTAGACCAGCATCAAGGGATGCAGTAACACTGTGTACACAAAGACTAGAGGTTGGGTAAGACATGGCGCATGAGCTCAGAGGGTTTTGAAATGAGCAGGTGGGACCACAGCCCAGGCTCTGAGAGATGGCTCAGAGCCTGAATAGATTTTTAACTTTGTGTCATCATAAATACCTTAATTGTGGAAAATCAGCTTTAGCAATGTTACATACTCCAGGGTTTCACATTTATTATCTTTCTGAGGAATACTAACACTTCTCCTCTGGTGACAACCTACTGTTCTTAGACAAAATGTACAACTGGTTTGGGATTCCCCAGAGGCTGCACTTTCCCTGCTTTCAAAGGTCTCCTCCCACCATGGGCTGGCTATGTTCTTTTTTTTTTTTTTTTTTTAGATTTATTTATTTGAGAGAGAGAGAGAGAGAGGGAGAGAGAAACTCAAGTAGACTCCACACTGAGCATGGAGCCTGACGTGGGGCTTGATCTCACAACCCTGAGGTCAGACCTGAGCCCAAACCAAGATTGGACGCTTAACCAACTGAGCCACCTAGGCGCCCCACTTGCTGTGTTCTAGTTCTAGTGACTTGGGCATTTAGTCATAACTGCTTTCCTTCATCACTTTCCAGAGTTTCTCACCTTCTTTTGCTTTTTGGCTGAAAGTGTCTGAATTCCACTGGCAGAGGGCTTGGCAAATGTCAAACAGCCATGTGTTATATAAGCAGTGGATGGGTTCATGGTGCTTCATTGTCCAAACTATCTCACAGAGGCAGAAGGCATTGTTTTTAATATGCAAGACCACTTAAGTTTAGAGGCAATGTTGTTTTCCTGGAAGATATATAATAAAGACAAAGAAGTGGAGTCAAATTCCTTCTTTATAGCCAAGCAGTTACCTTTTGGTTATACCCATCAATTTTCTCATGTCGATCTTGTTCATATCCATAGTTTGTGTTGAATTTCCTGGAGTTTGCACCCATTTCTTGGAGAGGCTTGGTAAATGTTCCTTTGTTTGCCATGAAGCTCAAACCCAAGGCCAGACATGGTTTATCCGCCAGTCAGGCTTAGCACCTTGTTAGTTCTTTATTTCTCTCCATGTCACTGTATACCCACCAACAGAAACATTTCTTAAGCAATTACTCTCTTTCTAGGACCAGATTTGATGAGAAATGCTTGTTCTCAAGGAAACACTGAAGATGGAGCTTTGGTTTCCCTGATAAAGGGAAGGATACTAGAAATGCCTTGGTCTATACTCACAATATGCCCTACATCAAATGTATTTATATTTTCTTCTCAAAAATATGCAAAACAGATATTACATGTATTTGCCTGCTTTACCAAAGAAAATGAGAATTTTATTTGAGAAAAAAGGGTAGGAAAATTCAAATTGTTAAGAGGGGAAAACATGTTTTGATTATGGATTGGTGGACTGCTGGATTATTTTAAAATAACTATAGTAATAATTTCTATTGTATATTAAGTATTTACCCTCTGCAAAGTATCATGCTAAGGACTTTGTATGCATGTCATCTCTGGATTGTATGTGTTCTATGTCATTTAATTCTTACAGTGATCACGAACTAGGTAACATTATATTTTCATTCTACATATGAGGACACTGGATTTTGAGAGAAGACATGACCAAGTAAACAGGAGAGCTGCCTTGAACCAAGACCCAGCCAACTCTGGAGACTTCCCTGTCACACCCTAGTTTGGCTGCTTTAGAAGCAAATTGCTTAGAAGACATAAAGCAATATGTATGAATAATTAAAGGCATGTGCTTTTTGGCCAAAATGAGTTTAGAAACTTACTCCTGGGTAGGGAATCTTATTATTAAAGACATTGTCAGACCATTTCTTTCCTTTGCAACTGGGAAGGTGTTTGAGAAATAAATATTTCTTTTTATCCCACACTTGGATGCTTTTCTTATAGTTTCAAAAAGCATAATTTCCTGTTTCTCTGAGCTGGAGAAAGGAATGGTCATCGGCAGGTTGACAGCTAGATGACTAGGGGAATAATCAGTGGGATGTGGCTAGGCTTCAGGTGACCCCTGAATAGCTGTGATTATAGCAGAGAATCCCCTGGTAAACTTCCTGTTCCATGTGCCGTGAAGGCAACCTCTCTGTCTCCTTCCTCACTAGGTCCACTATTTTGCCTCGCAGCACAGCTGAAGCCCCTTCCAGAAGTGCTGAACCGGAGTATCACATTCTCCTTGATTCTAGCTTCCATAGGGAGGGTCTCACTTTGTTTGAAATAGATGCATTTCTGAAGAGTTGACTATAATTTAGTCTTACTGATTCACATTTGAAAAAGGTAGTGTGGTGATGCACTGTTTGTTTACATTTGTCTTCTTAACATTTTAAATAATAAAATTGCAAGGAACTTAATATCCACCAATATTAAGATATTTAAATTAATTCAAGACACTGGAGTCAAGGAATGCTATGGTGATTGCTTTTATGTGAACATTTGTGAGGTGAATAACCTCTAATTTCTTTAAAGTTCATTGTTCACTTAGCACGTTTTCTTAAAACAGAAGGTATCTGCATCAGACCACCAGGCAATCTATTAACTAATAAATATTCACATACCAACTGTAAAGTTGGACACTTATTCATTCTTCCCAGTGCTCAGTTCCCTCATTGCAAAGAAGTAGGATACATAAGTCACCAGATTGTTGAGAGAATTCGATATACGATAATGTGGTCAGTGTTGGCCAATGATTGGAGCTTGATAAGAGATCGTTCTTAAGAGCAATCAGTTTGAAATCCAGAAAGTTCTGCCTGAGAGTAACAGCTGTTTGATTTTGGTCTCAATTCCAGGACCTACTAACTATCTCTGTGACCCCTGCTTCTTCGGCTCTAAAACGTGAGTGACAATTTCCTTGTCTAAAATTTAAAGGACTGGACCAAAATGTCTTCATATGTTTGTTCTAAGTCTCAAATTCACACACACACAAAGATTTAATTCAATCAAATAGTTTAATTTAGAAACTAGTAAAAACCAGTTGCTTGACTAAATCCAGTACTTGTTTCATAATTGGTTTATATTGTCCTGTAGTTATCACCACCGCTACAGAGAAATGGGATGGGCTGGTTTCACGCATGCTCATACACGTGGATAATCCTCTTCTGTTTTTTGTCAGTGGTATTTTTCCTAAGGCCTTTGCTCCTTTCAAATTCATCATATTTCTTTCTCTCTTACCTTTTTGGTTTTCTTTTTCACCAAGAAGACTAACTTAAAAAATGAGTCCAGCATCTCAGCGGATTTTGGATTTGTGATTAATTCTGTGCCCTTGCTCATTTATTAGAAGCCCCAGTTTCTCTCTCATCATCCTTTCCCTCCTGATAGATTTGCCCTCCTAATACTCTTTAACCCTTTGGGCTTACCTTATCTCCTTTGGCTCTTTCACTTCTCTTATCTCTACCCTGTTAGCCTTAACTGATGTAATTTGTTTTCCTTGGGTTTCCTCCTCCTCTTTAAAGACATGAACACTCACTCTGAATATTTCTCACCTCTTGCATTAGTTTTTGTCACACTTTTCATGAAGGTTCATAACCAAGTCCCGGCTTTTCTCATAGTTCTGGATTTTCATTCCTCTTTGCAGAGTGTCATATTATACTCAACAAAACAGACTCCAGCGAATTTGTTTTAGATGCTCTTTCTCATTTTCTGATATGAAATTGGGCTTGGTATAAGATTTTGGCTGAGCAGTTCATCTCAGCTCTGAGCAATATTCTCCCTTGTGACTTGGCCTATACCCTATGGAGCTGGCTAGAATTGGGGAGGATCCATTGTGTGTGTAGTTTCTGGTCTACCTTTCAGGCTGGTCTTGGGGAGGTCACTATGTCTCTGTGGCCTTCAGTAAAGTACCGCATTGGATATGTCACTATTTTCCAGATCCAGACATCTAAACATCCTTGAAGACAACGGTTGGGTTCTAAGAGCGAGTCTGAATTTTATTTATAAGACTGCATAGGTAATCTCGTTTCCTTGCTTTGGGTTGGAAATTATTTCAGGTCATTGGGGAGTGGAGGTTTTGGATTAGAAGATCAGACTATATATATTTGTATGTGTCTCAGATGAGCAACATTGACAAATATAGGTAATTATATTTAAGATATCCAGTTAAGTTGAAAATTTTTTTCCAAACCCATGGCCCCATGGCTGAGATGAGGGGGAGGAGATAAATGGAATCTTGGCCGCAGGAGCATTTGGGAACTGCTGGGATAGATGGTCCCAGAGGTCTCTGCTAGTTCTTTGGTTTCATGAGTACATGGCTCATTGGGGTCAGGCTGGAATTTATCTGAGGAGGAAGCTGTCAACTCTCAGGATCTTGACTCTGTAGTTGAGTGGTGGGATGGAAGGCAGGAGGTTTGGCTCTAAGAAAGGGTCAATTGTCATCCTCTCCTTTCACAACATGCTTGACCTCACATAGGCAAGTACAATCCTTGGGAATTTATTTAATATTCTGGAGTTAAATGTGAAGCAAATGTTGGTTCAAGCACATTTTTGACCTTGTCTTTTCTTTCGATTTTTAAGCTACCAGGAAAACAACCCAGGGAGAAAGTTTTCTCTCTGTAGGTTCTGTTGATTGGGGTGACAAGAATTTGATAAGTTACAAGGTAACCACATGAGTTACAAGCCTGGAATTCAGTGCCATGTGGTTTCTCAGGAAATCTCAAAATTGTTGGGTAAAAACCTTTGACTCATCCATGGAACAAGGTGTCATAGGTCTTACAAAACTACCTATATGAATCTTCTCATCTTGGAGTCTGAAAAAAAGACGGAGCAAAGATATTCCCAATTTTTTTAATTGTTAAGAAGCTGGAATAAATGATCAGATAACAATTAACTGGTGACCTGTTTATAACATATATTTGCAACATAAAGTCAAGATTCTAAATAATAATTATATGATATAGAAAGTCGTATTAACAGGAAAATGATAGAATGTTCTATGACATAATTTCCAAACATATCCCTGGTAATTAAAGAAAGTATATGTCAATGGTATAATGAATAGAAGCAGAAGTGAAAGGTAAAAAGGAAGGTATTCATTTAAGTACTTATTGCCATAACATAGAGGTTAGGAGTAAGGAAGGTTAGGAGTAAGGAAGGCCCTGTAGAGAGAGTGGCTAGGTATGAATCCTAGCTTCATGACTTACTCATTGTATGACTTTGGACAAGTTACTAATTATGCTGTGCCTCAGCTTTCTCATATGGTAAAATGGGGAATATATTAGCAACAGTGCCCACTTCATAGATTTGTTAGATTAAACTGTACATGTATATAAGGCAGTTAGAATAGTACCTGGCACAGAGTACACACTCAAGAAATATAGCTTGCTAAGTCTACGTACATTTTTGAACAATCTAAAGATCTGCAGATCTACAATCTATAGAAACTACAGATCAATGATGAACTAAATGTTTTGGGGAATAATTTTTAAAAAATTAATTATTTCTGTGGGCAACACTAACCTCCCCCAGGCAGTCATATTTGAAAATTATTTGTTGAACAACCAATATTTTGTTAGGTTATCCAACACATTTGATTTAATATAGAGAGATTTTAATATTGAACCAAATTTGTGTGGAATCATGTAGCTCTTGCTTGCAACAGCAACATATGAATACCAACATATGACAGACATTATGAAATATCAATAATCAGAGTAAAACTAAAACTTAATTCTCTGAACCGAAAACACACCAACCTAAGAACGTATATAGATATCCAGGTTTTCATGTGCTGTTATACTTTCCCTACAATGATTTTGTAGGCTGTAAATTTTTGTTTGTTTGATTGGTTTGGGTTTTTTTTTTTTTAAGTTTTCTTTATTTAAGTAATCTCTACACCTAGTGTGGGGCTCGAACCCACGACCCTGAGATCAAGAGTCACATGCTCTTCCAACTGAGCCAGGCAGGTGCCTCGAATAAAACTGTTTTAATTTGAGGCACACTGTGATTATAATCATCTTCCTAGTTAATCATATAAATGGACTTACTGGTTACTATGGCTTAGTGCCTGGAGTTACAATTTGCCCTGCGTGTTTCTATGACTGTTTTGGGCATAACAAAACAAACATAACAAACCAGTGTGCCTCAAATCATAATGATCTCCACTTAAGGTTTCTATCTGACAGACAGGTATTGGTCATCCATTCCTTCATTCAATATAGGAACATTGGCTATGTATCAGGCATGTGGGAATATGGTAATATGTTTGTAAATAGGAAAGACATTCCCTGCCCTTATGGGTCTTACAATTAAAGGGGAAGACAGACATATCAAAATTTTATAAGCAATCAGATAATTATAATGCAGATATATGCTGTGATGGAAAAGTCCAGGTGTTATGAGGTTTATATTCATAGAGGTGGGGAAAGGCTTCACTGAAGAAGTGACTACTTTGAGCCCTGAGGGAGGATGAGAAGTTAGTGAGGTGAAGTGTGCGGAGTGGGGGCAGGGCAGAGGAGAGAAAAGTATTTGAGGAATGGGAACAGCATGCATGAAGGTGCGGAAGTAAGAAGGGACCACAAAGCCAGTCTGGCTGGCATGTAGCCAGTTGGGAGAGTACTCAAAGTGGGGCCTTGAGGGCTATGTTAAGAATTATAAACGGTGGGCGCCTGGGTGGCTCAGTTGGTTAAGCGAGTGCCTTTGGCTCAGGTCACGATCCTGGAGTCCCAGGATCGAGTCCCACATCGGGCTCCCTGCTCAGCAGGGAGTCTGCTTCTCCCTCTGACCCTCTTCCCTCTTGTGCTCTCTATCTCTCATTCTCTCTCTCAAATAAATAAATAAAATCATTAAAAAAAAAAGAATTATAAATGGTTCTAGGGGCACCTGGGTGGCTCAGTCGGTTAAGTATCCAACTCTTGATTTTCACTCAGGTCATGATCTCAGGGTGGTGAGATTGAGCCCCCTGTTGGGCTTCACGCTGGGCATGGAGCCTGCTTAGGATTCTCTCTCTCTCCCTCTCCCTCTGTCTTTCCTCCTCCCCTCACCGCCCTCACTCGCTCTCCCTCTCTATCGAAAACAAAACAAAACAAAACAAAAAAGGATGTTATAGATAGAAAAGAATTTTAAATGGTTCTAGAAGCAACATCAGTTAGGATGGGTTCTAAGTGGAACTGGATATCATCAGGTTAATGATTTCTAGAGGTCGCCTTGGCTGTTGAAACAGATTAGAGGCAATGGTAAGAAATGAAGTAGGGAGAAAAGTAAAGAAGCTATTTCTACAGACCAAGAACAAGACTTTGGGGACTGATTGGATATAAATAGAAAGGGAGGTGTCAGGTTGACCCAGCTTTCTTCACAAGAGTCTGAGGGGGCGGTGTTGCCATTTACTGAGATGGGGAACGTTGGTGCAGAAGAAGGCTTGGAAGGTTCCATGTACATGTGCTCGTGAGAAGTCCACATGGAGCTGCAGGGTGCACAGCTGAGTGTGGGTCTAGATCCTCATAGAGGTTGGTGAGTGGCCAGGTAGTACAAGGTCTGCAATGTCTGCTGGGATTAGTTACTTAGGAAGTACTAAAGGCCCTGACCAGAGAAGTTTTACTGGAAACGGTGGTTTGACAAAATTGACAAGGTATGGTAATTGAAGTTAATTATGACTTTATTGTTTGCAAAAGGATTCAGGACAAGACACAATTAAAGAGCAAGAAAGGAAAACTAAATGCTCCTTTCTACAGTTGTCCATTTTCAAAGACAGGGGTTAATGCTCCTATTTCTTATCTCTTTTTTGTAACACATTTTCATTCTGACCAATTTATTTTGCAGGTAATTCTAAACTTTAAATGTGAGGCCTACAGTGATTTAAACTGCATTCTAATGTTTTATTCCCTGTTACATTGCTATATAATTGC